TATTTTCTAAATCGGATATGAAATTGTTTTCAAAATGTTGTTATCTTTCGATTTTATAACAGGTGTTTTTGATATGTCAACATGATAACATATTTTAAAACTATTGACAAGGATGCTGTGATAGTCGCAAAAATAAATTTACTACCAACAAAGAGTCATAATTACTGAACTAATAATAACACATCACAACTAAACCTTCAAATTAAGATTTTGTCAAAAATTGCCTATACATAACTCCTTATAATATAAGGGTTATAACGTCCTCTTACGCTCTTTTACCACTAGCCCAGTTTGTATTTATACAACAATTTTTTTGTTTGTTAATAAATATAGGAATTATTTTGATTTTTACTAACATTTTTGTAATTTCAGGGCTTAGTTTGAAAAACATACAAATTAGAATTTTTGTTATGTTCTTTAATTTTTTTCTTTTATATTATTTATTGATATTACAAAAGTACTTATTTGAAGTTTATATACTTATAGATAGAAAAAATTCCGTCTTTACACTTCAATTTCAGGGTAATGAATGAGTTTTTGATATGTTCTTAATGACAGAGCTTGGCTTAAAGTCAATTGGACTAAATCTAACCAATATACTCCAAATATTAACTTGATAATTTATCTATACAAACTACTATATTGTTATTTAGTTTGGATTTAAATTTTTGGTTTAGGCATATAAAGTAAACTAATAAAAAAAACAAATTATTAGAAAACCAGTACCTCCTCAGCTCCGCATAGAAGTTAAAATTCAGTAATTTCGTCAGGAACAAAATAATATCGAAAAAATGTAAAGTAAATTTCACGTATAATGTAATATTATGCTGTTTTTACACGCAATTCTTGCGAGTGAAGTAGACGCATGCATAATATTAGAATAATAAACGTTTACGAACATAAAACGGGATTTGTGTTTTTGCAATGACATTATTGAATTTCTCAAGATATTTATTTGTGTCCCTCAGCTTTTCGTTATTTATACGCCGTAAGGTCACGGACGTTACTGTTCATCGATCTCTTGGTCTATTCGCGTACTCATAGTTTATACTGTACTGCGGCCGAAAATGGCTGGCAGGTTAAGCAGTAAAAAACCACCCTAGTCACCATTTTCTTTTTGCCAGACGAAAATGCGATTTTGATTTAACTTAATGGTACGTTTATTTTTTCCCCTTAATTACTGCCCGTATAACCCTTGTCCGGACTGTATAACGTCGTTACGCCGTAACAAATTTACCGTCGCTGCCGCCGGAGAATTTTATTTATTTTCATTTCCCAAGATTAACTAGCGAGTTTAAACAAGAGTAACGCCACGCTTAACCAACGTAATAATGTCAACACGATTATTTTACACGGTAATGCGCGTGAACTTTCTCTCGTGCGTACATACAAGCGATTAATCGCATTGTTCTTTACAATTTAACAACACCGCGTGCAGAAGAAAATAAATATAATAGTAGTGTAAGACGGAAAAGGGCAAATCGATCGGGAATCGAGAATGATGGTGTTCGCAGGAACACACGGGGACGTCGTCGCAGAGAATAATCGTTTGCTTACAACGATTATTATTATTAAATACACAATAATAGTATTAAACATAAAAAATATACTATAGTATAATATGTCAGTATCCCCTTGTATGTTCATTTATCACAGTTAAGTGTGTACTGTGTACATACTCGGTCACTAAACACTACTGATATTTTGTGTTGTCAATAATATAGTGAAGGAAGAGTTATTTTATATTCTTATTTCGTAAAGAATACAAAACACAAATAGGTGTTTTTTGATATTTTCACGTAAACTACGAAACTGGAGAGTATTTTCGATGCTGATATTTTACTTTTTTTTTTTTGTCAAGGTCGTCCATCCTCTGGAAGCATGTTTTCACGCATTTTTTTGGTCGTACATTAAAGTGTACGATGTGATGATTGATTTACTACGGACAAGCTATACGACATTTACTATTTTTTTTACCTAACTTTTAATTTCCAACCGCCTGTCCTTATAGTTTGCAGTGGAGTAATAAAAGCCATACTATTATGTGTCATTACAGCCAATGCACAAATACACCTAATATTGGAATATTGGTGGACAGTTGCAATTAAACTGTCTCTTTAAAGTTAAAAAAATTAAAAATTAGATGAATAATTTAATAATAAAATAATTTAATTAAAACAAATTTTGAAGTAAACATGACTAGTTACGAAAATAAACATTTTTAGTCTCAGTATAATAATAATATAGTAGAAAGACCATTTATGATTTTCCTAGAAAAAATTAGTACGACCGACTGTTTTCAAATCAATAAGGGATTGGATTCAAATATCTAACCCGTTTCGTATATGTGCTTTTAAGACATAAAAGTTTTGTCGCCAATTATTTAGATATTTAAATACTATATTATGTATGTCACTAATTACATTTACTTTGTTTCCTAATGTAGAGCCCAACTTTAATTTTGTGATTATAGTGGTTTTAAACTAAAACTACTTTCGAAATTATAAATTAACATTCGTCAGTGTTTACCTAACAAAATTAAAATTATAGTGGGACAAAAACGTTAAAATCGAACACCAGTTCGCCCACCACCAATTCAATCTATGATAATCTAATGTTTTGTCTTCAATTTGAATTTCACTTAAAATTCGCTGTCCTTTCTATTGAATTCATTGTATTTAGTTTAAATGCATTTTTTAAATATATTGATGCCTTTTCATTAACGAGACAAATGTCCTGTTTAAAAATAGTTGGTTACGCTTTACTGTTACCAATCTAAACAAACTTGCGGTTTCTATTACGTCATGTTACTACAAGAATTTATATAGTGTTGGGGCCTGAAAAAAAATATTGCTGTAATAATATCACAGCAGTATTATAAAATTGTAATTCTGCCGCTGCGAAAATAAGATTTGTCTTCGGCAAAATAAGTGTTTTATTATGGTTTTGTAACCCGTAGAATCACGCTGAAATGATTGTGCAAAATGTATTTCCTATTTAAATATAATATGTACATCCATAATCGATCGAATATATCGCTACCGTGTCAGTTGTTTCGCCCAGCGTCATTGACCGTGTGCCGCAAAATCATACGCCAATTTATTATTACATTATGGAGGCTGTGGGATTCATGTAATTTGTTTTTAGTGTTTGGAGGACGTATAGTGATAATAATATTATACGCTAGGTATATATAGATGTAAGTAAGCGAGTCTTCCAGAGAGTAATTACACGTTAACTTAACACGCTCCGACTTCGTCGTCTCGATACCCTGTAGCACAAGTCTGGTAGTTAAGTGGATCGAGCCGGATAATGTGCGCAAGTATGCTCGCAGTGTTTATATTATATATATATATATAAAATAACATTGATTTTTTTTTAGAATTTTATGTGCTTTTATAAAATAATATCGTTAACGACGAAGCGGCCCTGAAAATGAACAAACGACAAATTTAAAATACAACACTACCCGTCAGTACATAATAATATAATATGGTGTACGTTTTCCCTTACAATATGCGAATCTACGAGTTGTTTTATGATGTTATCTTAATCGAATTAACTATTTACTAGAACAGTGTAATGTGTGGAAACACAATCATCGTTTGTCATATTGATGTTATCGTTCGGTTTTTAGCGAAATCATTGGCGGAAGCACAACTTTGTCATAAAAGGAGGCGTTGTGTTGATACCGTTTGATTAACGTTGGCGGCCGTATGCCTACAATATTATGTACTAGTATGAATATTGTATAAGTTCATTCACGTTACAGATAAGTGCGAGCGTTATTATAAGTGGACGTCAAGAACAGTATCGTGAGCGTTTGAATTTTGCACGGTTAAGAGGGGCGGAGGTAGAACGCCTTTCCCGCCCATATAATAATTATAATCATCAAATATATATTTTACTCGTCGTAGACTCCTTATAAATGGTATGCACCAGTAATTCTACTTACAAATTTGAGCTACACTGCACACATAACTCTGTTAGTAAAATAACAAATTTAAAAAAAAAAGTTGAAAAATTGATAATCCAATTCAAGGGTAAGCGGTTAAAATATTTTGTATCATTAACCGCTTAACGTTAATTAAAGTTTATGTATGAAACACGCTTTAGTAAACTATTTAAACGATCGAATAGCTGTTTTGTAAGATTATCTTAACTGGTCTAATTAATAATGTCAGTTTTACAATATTATTTATTTTTATTTTGAAATTAAATTAATAAAAGAGCCCTCGGTTCGATCGTTTAGTGATACTTAATTTATTAACTTTTATTAAACCAATTGAAACTACTATCTTGTAATCGACAGGCGCGTCGTTAACCATTACAAGAATGTTGAGTTTAATATATTATTGAAGTTTCATTTATTCTTCACCCTCTCGATAATCGATTATTCTTTAAAACGTAAACCGATTCTACTTAAAATATTATTATCAGTTCGTTTTTTTATGCCAATAGGAAATTGGTTAAATACCCATTTGTTATCTGATCGTCGACGGTGGCGTAACGGTCAATACTCAATAGCTGTTACTATAGCTTATTAGTATTATTTTTTTGACGATTTAAAAATACGTCTACACCACCACTTTGGCACTACTTTACATTTTCTCCGCCGTTCTCAATAAACCAAAAATTGACGTGTCAGACGCGATTCAAGTCGCTTCACAGTAAAACGAACACGTGAAAAAATGTTCACGTTAAGTTGTACTTATATCCATTATATATTATACCATACAATGTATATTTATTGTCGGCCATATGGCTTTTGCGTTTGGCAACCCATCCGCTTGTTGTCGTTAGATTTTTTTTATAATTATGTTCATTTCTATCGCCAAATGGCATTTGCGCTCGCCAAATTTGTATACGGGGAACGAATCTCTTTTTAATACAAGTACACTGTTGTCTGTGCGAGACGCGCGTTAAAATTGAGGTTTATGTAAGTCCGGTGTATATTATGCTTATCGAATTTTTACAATTTTTTAATTTTTTTTTTATAGAAGCTGCAGATAATATGCGTTGCAGTTCACATCGACGTCACTCCTAAAAACGAATAACACGGGGACGAATCGCATAGCTGAGACATGTCTTGTGTGCGAGAATCGTCGCCACAACCCGAGCACGCCGTCAGTCAAAGACCGGGTGAGCGATTTTTTAATTATATTGTTATCCCATGTTTAATTGGGTTGGTAAATTAATAAACGTAGCTATAAAAATAAATAACAAAAAAAAAAAAATGTTTAAACGTTTAATTAAAACAATATTTTATAAAGACGGTACGTAGCTTTGAGTTACATTATAGGTATATATATATATATATACATTTTTTTTTTACCGTAGTTGGCGAAGTTAATAGTTAAATAATTACCTACTGGTAGAGAGACTAGAGTCAATGTAAACTATATACCGTGTAAAATGTGTACAGTCTTTGTATTATTATCAGCGTTTTATAACATCAACATTTTATAGGTAATAGGCCATAATGTTACATTATAGGTTTAAAACATAATACATTTATTAATTTTTTATAAACCTTACTGATTTTTGGCCAAACGTTTTTATACAATCACGCCTTGGCTGCAGTGGTTGAAATGGGACTTGTAGCGGTTTTATTCTAAAACCTTAAGAACAAACGCGTTTGTGTTGCTTGACAAAATATAATAAAAACTATGCTTTGTCCGTAGAACCCCCAAAAAGGAGACGTTTCAACCCGCTCAGGGGCTTACGGCGAATATTTCGTCGCAAGGTCCCAGCCGCCAGTCTCGATGCTAGCGAAGCGCTTAATTCTGGCGAAGAAACGACTTCCGACCAATCGGCCAACAATAAGTTGGACCCGTCCCGAAGCCGTTCTACTAGTATGCTGATCGACGAACCGTTTAACCGAAGACCGTAAGTGAATGTTGATAGGAAAAACACAACTATACGATTCTTAAAATAATATTAAATGTTCTTTCGTTGTAATTGTCGCACAGTGGCAACGACTTCATATATATGTGTGTGTGTGTAACGTGTATTAACATGAAGAATTTTTTTAATCAATTACAGGAGTTTACACTCGACGTTGCTGAGCGTTAGCCATGACAGTGTGTTCAACCCCGAACAGCATTCCGGTCAGTCCGATTCCGAGTCGGCAGTGTCAGTACCAAGATTGGGTTTTCCGCTACACGCCAACTTAATACAAGTAATTAAAAAATGTACCGAAAAACGTTATTAAACTGTTGTTGAATCGAAGTACAAAACGAAAAAAAATGTATTATGCCTTCTATTACCAAAGAGGAGATCGTCGCAGTATAATAATCGCTCGCAAATTACTCCTCCGGTGTTGTAGTCGTCGAAGGAGCGGCTATTGTTTTCAACTATTTTTTTTGTTTCTATATTGAACAGAGCCATCCGTTTTGTTGACAATAGAAAACAATCAAGACAACAATAATAATAAATGTAATAATACTCGTGTAATTTGCCAATCGTCTATGTGTTTTTACACATAAATCATACCATTTGACACTCGCGACTTACCCAAATGTGTTTGTAATACTGTGGTAAACTTCGGACTTTTAGTCTACGACAACGGCGCGGGCAGTTCTCTACAGTATTGTATTTTATTATATAGCCATCATTACACTAATAATATATTAAATATGTCTCTAGTGAGTAACTGACTAACCGATTAAATTTATATATTATACTACTCGGTATTAGACGACACCAGCGCTCACAATCAACATTTTTTCCGTTAATTTGTTTTTTAAACAACATTAGGTCGTCTAATTTGAGTTCATATTGAGACAACTTATTCGGCGGTTGTTGTTTGCTACGCGTGTGCTATACAAGCGGCCGAATTCAATTCGAAGTTGTTTTTTCTCTTCTCGCAGTGTAATATTTTTTACATTTTCTCTCGATTTGCACCTTAGTAAATGAGTTTGGACGATGCGCGCCAGTGCATTAACGGCTCGGTTAGCCCATTACAACGTTACATCGGCGCGTATAATGTAATATATGTACTCGTGCTCGTCACATTGGCTTAGGGCTTTTCGAAAACCGGCGGGTGCGAGGTACAAACCCAGCTGACCGTGACCTTTAATCACTGTTCCGGCCGAGGCAGCGCAACAACTGAGCATCGCCTCGTGCCTGTAACGCCCCGATGCATTGCCCCATTAACATTTAATACAGTTATGGTTGATATGTGTCCACGGACCCTTTTACGGTTACGAGATTAGCGAGAAATACACCATTAATTCGTATTTATTTTAATAATAGTAAATAGTAGTGCAATGTAATATTCGGTGTGGTGTCGTTTCCAGGCCGAGTTATTGGAAGCGGTGAGAAGGCGCAGACCAAAAGTCCAAGACGACGACGATGTCGACGACGGACTCCCGCGAAGTCCATCAATGCATTCGCCTACCATAGCCACCGGCAATGATCTCCTGTTGAGCAAAGTATTGAGATCTTAGATTTATAGCGATGACGATAATATTATAGTAATGTGTATTTTTTTTGTTAAACTTATTCTAATGGCTTTTTGTTTTGCTTATTAATCTATTGTCAGGAATTGATAACAAAATCTTCGCACAGCACCTGCAGTGATGGATCGCTTCTCAGTATGGGAAGTTCCGAAATGGACGAAGTAAGATCATCTGTTATGTAGAACGTCGTTGTAAGCGGTTTGCGACCGATTGCAATGCCGTTTTTTTAAATAAAAGACAAATTATAATGATACAAATCTTAATTTTAAATACTACGTTGTTAGTATAATGTTAAAATTAATATAAAATTATTTATGTTCTCAAACGGAACAACGAAAACGAGTTATTCAATTAACATCATTAAGTTCTCTATATTTGCTAGTTTTTATTTTTAGTATTGAACTCGTCGACCTTCACAAGTATAACTCATAGAATTAATAATTATTATAAAAATATAAACCTAATTATTCAAATATATGCAACTTAATATATTTTGAGTTTGATCTAATTAATTACAATTATCGAAATTCGCAATTTGTAATACTTAAATATATATTAACTTTGACATCAATTTTACATAACTTTTACAACAATTTAGTAGTGGAGTTTATTAAATCGTACATTAATGACAATGAGCATTTTTACGTTTATCATTCTTACACTTTCAGTAAAAAATAGACTACTTTATAAACGGGTTGAGGTCTACATTGTTAATAGATAATAATACTTATTGAAACATAGTAGTAACAGCTTAATTATGTAACATGTAATATTCAATAACAAAATGAATTATAAATTATATAAATATATTATGATAATAAATATTTTTCACTTTTAGGACTCATTCGGTGGTCATATTTCTCGTCATTCGTCAAAAATGTCATTATACGATAAACACACATCTCAAACTCATCTGGATAGTTCAGGTAAAGTTACGACGTACAATAAAAAAAATAGTTTTATCATAGATAAAGTATTTATTGTAGATGGGGATTCTTCAACAAGTGTTCCTCTGAGCCATAGTGCAGCCAAGCATCGAATGGCAATCAGGCCAAAAAGAAAGCACGGCAATCCTCGTAATAAAAAGCCTGTAAGTGTAAAATACACGTTAAGTAGAAATTAATATGTATTGATTAAGTAAAATTTTTTATTTTCACAGCTTACTGTGGCCACTGCTCTTCCCGCTACTCCTGAAGTGAACGAAGAGCACTCTGGGCGGTCAGTGTCACCCGAGACCAAACCTCAAACCGATACTGCAGGTATATACAATTATGGTCACAGTTATTCGGCTTATTACCCAGCCAAATTTAGTGCCAAGAAACCTTTGAAAAAAGCACCAAAAACGAAATGTAAAAAGCCCAGACAGAGTTGTTGTTTATTCCGATTGAGTTGTTTTGGTCGTCGCCGTTCTGGTGCATATCGTGTACGAAACGATGCTCTACCATATTTTATACGTAGCTCGTCCATTCGACCAGTTGGATTTAACAAGATATCTCCTCAGTTATCACATAAACAAATTGATGTGACTAAAGGTAGAAATAGAATGAACTTATATGCCTATCCAAAAGGATATTTGAAATTTCTAGAGAGTTACTTTATGGTTAGTAGTTACGAATCAATGAGAAACAATAGACTACCAGCCATTAGTGAAGAGGATGTGTGTCCCCTGTGCGGTTCTCTAGATTATACCGTTAATAGCAATAAATGGAAAAATGCTTTACTAGTACCGTTCTAATTGGTTAAATCCATAAAAGATATGACATTTTGCTATTTCACCTTTTTTTATTGTAAAAATATTAGCTTTGCACTAAATTTGCACGTGTGTTTTTTTTCCAGATGGCACTACTTGCACTTCCCGAGACCTCGACACTTGCATTGATGAAATATCCATTGAAAACGTTCCAAAACGCGAAGAAGGCTTTTTTCACCGCTTACTGTCACGCCGTAGCACTAAGAAAAAGACAAAACCTGAAGAAGATGTGGATAAATTTCTTTTCGATGACGCGGTAGCAGCTAAACCCCGGCAGCGAGAAGAGCCTCCACCTGCCAGCCGCATGCAAATATCCTATCCTCCTGATCTTCCATTCGACCATCCGATTACACCGCCGCCACATACGCCATTGGCTGAGGACATCTTAGAACCCGACACATTCACGCCTATTAAGAAGTCATTTAGTCTAAGGCAAACTGACGATGAGATGTCTAGTGGATCTGTTCAGAAGTCTTCGTCATCGGACAGTGTGTCTAGTGTAATGGATGAAAATTCTGAACGCTATCGTAGCTATAGCTCTAGCGACTCTGAACCCCGTTTGTTACCAGTTCCAGCACCACGGCTATCCAAACTTGGCACAGAGGTGCTTAGAAGGAAAAAACGGGACGACGAACCCGAGTTGCTGAAAGTATTTGCCAGGAGGTCATTAAAACTAGGTAAAGATGGCGAGCCGGAATTATTGAGCAGTGACAAAGAGAATGAGTATAACATAATACAAAGTATGAGCGAAGAAGCTGAAAATGAGATTATTGTTAAAAAGAGTGAACCGCAAGTAGATGTTAATGAAAACCAAACAGAAATACCTCGGTTTAAACGAATACAACAGCGTAGAGAGGAGTGGGAGAAGAGACTGCAAAAGAATTAATTAATTCTGAATGTTTCCCCCATCATAACTAAGGGTTAAGAATTATTATTATATAAGAAGTTAGATATTTATTTTTATTGCATTGCTTTTATCCTTTCTACATAGAACGGTGCTAGATGATGGTTATATATTTACCCGAGTGGCCTTATACGAAATAGGTTGTGAATTATAGATACAATATTTACCCAATTGTTTGAAACTGTTTAAATGATTTATATTTTTCAAAGTAGATAAAACTATTAATAGGAAAAATTAACCAAATTTTACCATTTTTTCCTTCTATTATTTTTTATATAAAGATATATAATATGTATATTATATGATATAACGATTAATTAATACAATTTATAAAAAAAATATCTTCACAGTAATACTGTTTGTTCAAATGATATTTTTTCATTAGATTGAAAAGTTTGTAAAGTCTATTTTAACATTATCAATAGTAAATATGTTATTTTTAGAAGAAGGAAAAAAAACGATATTCGTTTATATGACAATTACTCATCTGTGATTCCATCTCTACCATTTGAGACATTTAAATTATATTAAATTGTATTATTGTCCCTGTCCCTAAAAGTTCCTTTTCCCATATAATATAAGGCCATTGATAATTTTGATTTGTTAACAGTGTAATGTAAGCAGACAATTTGTAGTTTTTACAAATATACAACATAAAAAAATTGACGCACAACTAAAAAATCGTAAAAATTGTTTGTACTTGTACGATTCTTATATTATATATTTACAAATTGGTGTTTACTTTACTTTGTAACTCATTAACATAAAGACTTTCTTACCACTTAAGACAATACACCTTATTGAAGAGCTGATTGTTGTAAAATAGAATTTCTCGTTAAGTACAGTTATTGCTTTTCAAAAATCGGCCGATCAAATGGTTTTATAGTGATATTTAAATAGATTAGTTGTTACGTTTTAAATGTTTAATCAAAAGCAATCTATTAAACTTTTCATTTTCAAAACCTAACCTCATTGTGATTAATTCACCTTATTTTATTTTTTTTATATGAATAACATGTAAATTATTTTTTTCTAAATCATTATTTCAATTATTGTATGGTAAAATAAATGATGTATTTTTCAAAATCTGCTTATTTTTGTATGTTATAATTTATGAATGTTGAGATGAATTATTTTTTAAACCACAAGAATCGACGGTTATAAATATTATGTTATATTGTCTTATGTTTAAAAAAAATATAAGTATGTAAAAGTTAAAACATTGTACCATTTTAAAGCAATATGCAAAGTATATAAATATAAATAAATATTTGTGTAAACAACTATGACGTGTGTTGACTACATTACATTTGTGGCAGTTCAATTAATTATAGTTTCAGTGCGATTTGGTTGTTCTTCATCATCGTTTAGAGATTGTTGCGATCCCACTTGGGCAGTTAAATCCTCTTGAGTGTTGCGTGGCGGTAGGTTACGATTCCTACACAAAAAAAAAACAAAAACAATTAATTACTTAATAATTAACAACTATTTAGAAAAAAATTGTTTACTTTTCAATTTTAGCTCTCTTTACTCGCATAAAGAATCGATAGCCAACGCACACCAAAATGAGGAATAACGGTCCCAACATAAGTAACATGATGGGTACGACGATTACTAAAGCCCTGGATGAAAATTCCTGATGACCTGTGTTGTCAAAACAAATTATTTTCATTGCATCATTTGAATTAGATAACATTGCAGACTATTAATATTTATTTGTTAATATTTACATATTTTTTTACAAAATAAAAACTAAGTATCTTATTAGAATTTCTAAAAATTATAAATTTTAAAAAGCGTTACAATATTTAATGTATACAATACGTGACATACACAATGAAGTAGTATTTTTACATGTTGGGTGTTTTGTATGAAAAATGTAATTTGAATTTCTTTATAGAAAAGAATAGATTGCGGTACTTTAATAGGTAGTTGAAACGGCAAGATTTGTAATTTACACATACTTCGCAGTCAAATAAAAGTTAAAACTTAGTATCTAATGGCTAATGTCAACAAACAATTAAATTATACACGTTAGTTTTATATAATAGATCGTGGCACTGACAACAGTTATATTAAATTTTGCTAAATAGCCTTCCTGTTTTAGTTTTAATTAAATATAAATAAACTGCCTTATTTGTATGTCCTTAATAAACAAGTTGTGTGACAACTCTTAATAAAAAATTTACTATTTTTAAATTCTAAATTCTTATAGCTACTAATTAATAAATACAAATAATAGTATAAATAACATGAATAGGTACTAATAAAATAAAAAACGTGCAAAACAGCTATAAGAGTAAAATGAGTTTTTAATTTTGATTAACATATGTAAACCAGAACCTATGATATAATTTTGTAAAACTTACATATAAGTTATTTACATTGAAATTCTTGATTGTAAATATAAATATTTTCGCGTCTAATTGATTTTTAGTGATTATAATTTATAATAATTGGCCACAGATGACAGAAGACGTTATTCTTTACAATAAATTAAAATTACTTTAATATGCTTTTGGACTATAGTTATTAGATTTTAAGTAATTAAATTTATTAATATTTTATAAAACCCGCTATACGTATAGTAACAACTATAATATAATGTATATCAGACAAAATAACTATACCGCATTATAATTACCCTTGGCATGTATGTGTTTTTTTTTGTACAAAAACGTAAGCAAAATAAATAAAAGACGCATTTATAAACGTTAGATAAACTGTATTTTTATGTTGACATGGTCAGTGTTTAGCTGTTTAAAAGTCATTTTAAAACTGTATAATATATATATATTAAATTAGCGCGTACCGCTGCTGGTGGAAATGCGGGTTTTAAGCCGTAACAATAATAATACTTGGATATGACCGTTTGCATCGACAAAACATAAAATTTAAGGTTGGTTTATCAACACCGAGACTATAGTAAAAACTGTTAAAACTATATTTAAATTTAAAGATTTTTTTTTTTGTGCAAAATGCCATCCAAAATATATAATACATACATAATAATTGTAATAATTTAGTTTTCGACACCGGCGCTTAAAATGAGTCTTTGAGTTTGGACGGAAAAATTTGCCGTTGAACGGCCATGGATGGACCGCCTGTGTCGCGCCTGTCGGTCAGCGGCGAACCGGGCACGTAGATGGCCGTCCTCTTGGGTATCTTGTCCAGCTGTCCCTCGTACTCGGCGTCCAAATCCCACACTTTGGGCTCGAACTGGACGTCGGGTTTGCCGGGCAGCGGCTCGTTGGTCCTGTACACCGCGTCGTACGACCGCTTCGGGTTAGTCGAGCTGGCCAACGAGTCGGGTGGTGTGGATCTGTTGGACGACGACGCCGGCGACGATGACGTCAACTGTGCCGGTTGTTGCCGTTGCTGCTGCCGGGCCGACGGCTGTTCGGGGTCTTCGGGCTTGGACAAGTCGACCGTGCTCAGGGCCAACACGGAATTCCGGCGTCTCATTGCGGCGGCCGACGTGAACCGCAGGCCTGGACCGCGGCGCCGCCGCCGGTACACTTGTGACACCACGCAACATATGCCTACCAGCAGCGGTACAATTGCGCCAGCTATCAACGCGATGGTCATCCAAGCGCTTCGCGACTCATATTCGATATGACCTAAGACCGGGATTTTTCGTACGTAAGTACAAGTAGGCATGGTAGCAAGATATTTTAACAAGTTATCGCGAGAAACGTTTCAGTGCTGCTGTCCAACGTTTAAATTATGGTCTTTTACTCTTTAATATTTAATTTAAATTTAGAAGTAAAAACTGCTTGTTATGTTACGATTTATGAACTTGGGCGAAACAGTCGAAAATCTGCAAGAAGCGTCAGAACACTCAATTAAACTAGTTACAAATTGAATTTCTCATAATAGTATGACGCATTTCAACATTTTAAATAGTTCACTAGACAAAAACACCATTTTCGAGGCTCGCAAGATGTCTTTTATGAACATTTTTCCTTTATAAATTATCAAATCGTTAAATTAAATACTTTTAAAAATATATTGACCACAAACAGTAGCATTGGTAATTAAACTAGCACTTAAACCAACAGAGCCTGTTAAAGTCTAAAACTAAAATATTATTTTGATTAATTTTATTTTAAAAAATTGTGCAAAATTGTGAATTTTGCGCACGGACTGTAACCATCGACCCATGCCCTATATATTTATGTGTACTTTTTATAATGTATGTTATAACATTAACTTATAATGTTAGTAATCCAAAATTTTCCCAGACATATACAAAATATTAAAAAAAAACTATTAAACATTCACATTACTTTTACTTATAAATAGTTAATTTTCAACCGCTTAAATGCGATGTAAAGTGGTAGGAATTTGTATAAAAAATCATATTCTATATTCAAGGTTATAATTCATAATTGTGTCGACATAAAGTGCCAAACAATATACATAAATCCGCACAATAACACATTGTATTATTTTGTGATTCACGACTGCTTGTCGACTATTTAACTAATCATTAGTAAATTTACACAGATTTCAATTAAGACTTTCGTAAGTCAACTCCTTGAAAGTATACCCTTAAATTTTGTCTATTAGAAATGACAACAATGTTGTAGGTATTTGTGAAATATTGTGAAAATACGCTAATTACCATTCAAATGTATTGATATTTTTACAGCCAAATTTTGCAAACGAGAATAATTAGGCAAGAATTTTTAAAGCGGTTTACATTTTTAAAAAAAAATACGAATTGCTAAAATGTTTGATACCCAAGCCCGTAAATCATAGTTTGTGATGCCGGACAAATTCGCAATTAGTTAAAATGAACAAAAAACACTAATAGGAATGATTTGCAAACACTGAAATATTTCCCGTTTTCAAATACTTTTTGTACTCACGCAAACATTCTGTGTATCCATATTCTGGAATATCCCATTTGCCGTCGGACGAACACGATCTCCGTTGGTCGCCAATCAACACGAAGTCTTGGTTGCACTCGAACGTCACTTTGGTGTTAGGCACAAACAAGAAGTTGCTCTTTCGTCCGAACCGGGGAGTCTCCAGAACACCGCAGGATATCACTACAGAAACAAGCAAGAAGACTGTAATAGTTTTTCTGTAATATTTTTGGACCATGCTTGGTTTATAGTTCATAATATTGTGGTGGTTTGTAGTGACCTAACCAGCGGTGGTGAACGATAAACAAAAAGGTGACAGTAAGAAAAGAATAGTGGGAGTAGAACACGCATCGACATATATGAACTACGACCACGGAGACGATCGATTTAGAGTTCAGTCTACAGGCAGCAGCGAAGCAAACATCACGCAACATTGGCCCGAAGAAAGAAGATGAAAGGCTTCCAAAGTTGGCAAAGCGAATTCATAAACATAGGTGAAACTGTGTAAACCATGGAAATATTTCAAACAAACCCTATACAAACTTAAACTAATTTATATTACAAATTTAATATCCGTGCCATTTGGTCAAATTGTGATCGTTTCTATTTAAAAATAAAAAAAGTCATCACTATTTTGATCTATACCCACATCGTGTTCACGTAGTTGTATTATAAATTATAATAGTATTTAAAAATGGATCTAAATGACCATAAATCTTTCGGGTCTTGCTAACAACTCACCTCTCTGCTTGCTCATCTTTTTAGTGTTGACGAACCCGTCTTGATACTGCAGCGTGTAGAAAGCCATATCCCAGTTGAGACTGACCGAGTAGTCATACTTGCATTGATACGAATCCCCGCACAGTTCGTTCGCTTTCTTGATGTCTGCGGTTCGGTTGGGCGGTATGATTAGTTCCGGAGTCTGTGCAAACACTGGCTCGAACGTCCGGTTCGCATAGTAACTTGCCGTGCGACCATATTCCCTGAAAAACAACGCTCCACCCTTGTTTTTTTCATCTCTGTCTTCTAAAATCCCTGCAAATAAAAATACTCGTGACGTGTGAACTCTAAATTATAATGTGTTTTATGGTCACATACAATTCATCGCGAACTGCTTGTGAGTTCCTTCGAAATCAAACGTGGTGGGTAAGACAGTCATGCCATCGGGCAACACAAAGTCGTCCATTTGGTCGAAACTCCAGTTGCCAAACAACCCTCTGGTTCGATTCTAGAAAGAAAGCATTAATACAATTTACTGGCACGGAGTTCGTTGCGAACTCCGTAGATTATAAAATTATTTTACTCACGATAAACTGCCAAGGCATGTAAACCCTGGTCGTCATGTAACCTTTGTTTTCCAAGACTTCTAGACCGGCACCCGACTGGAACATGATCACAATTTCGGACTGATTGAGTGTGTAAGATGGCGAGTAAACGGTTACGCCTAGGAAACGACGATTTGATGATCGATTTAACAAGCATAATCTTTATGTAAAGGTTAAAAGTTCTGAGTCTTACCGTGGAAGTGTTGCACCTTTAACGCCGGTCTATCGAAGTATACCCGTTTGCCGTCGGCGAACACGTCCAGTCTATATCTCCATTGAGCGGCTTTGGGCCGCAGTCGCACTTCAATTACGGTGGACGTATTGTCGCGTGAAGCCACCGAAGTTAGTTGAGTGGCCATCACTGGTCCGTAAATGTTATTCGGCAACTGTTCGAATCTTCCCTGGACATCAAATTTGAATTCGTCCGAGTCTACGTGCACTAACACGAACTCGCCTTTACCATTGAACGTGTACTCCAAGTCGTCGAATGTGATAACGTGCGGATCTCCGAACACGGTAGCTGAAATCAAGTAGAAAACCCATCGTAACAACTGGGTAATTCGTCATAGCGCGATTGCACTCACCTACGTACGGCGATTGGTACGCCACGCAGTCTTGGGAAGGCCGACGTTCGAAACGGTAAGTCTCGCAACCAACGGCCTGTTCTTCTTGCCACAAACAACATGGGAAAAACGGGCTCATGTCGTGGAACCATTGCGACAGCGTGGGCACCTTTAGGGAGTTAATCAGACATATTATAAGATAACTTTTGCCTTTTTGCAGAAAAAAAAAAAACGTCTAAATACGTTACTTTATTGGCTTCGGACCAAGGCAAGAAACCCAAGTTGTGTGACCTCCTGGGACGGGAACCCCACTGCTGGTCGTAGGAAAGCATGAGATAATTATTTTTGTCGTAGCAACACTGCTGTTCCGAACCTTCCATGCTCGGCGCTCCCGTTGTAACGCAATGCACGGCTCCTTTGTTGTAAAGACACTGCGGGTTAGCATCCCTGTCACAATCAAAGTCCGGCAAGAAACGGCCCCGATCGACTAGCGCGTGGTCTAGAGTGCAGGGACATTGGTGAATTTCGGCCGCAAAGTTCTTCAAGTACCTGTCGTTCTTGATCCAGTCGTCGCAGATCTTTTCGGGCCAAAACTCACCGTGCCATCGTTCCCATTGTGGCGCAAAGTACCATCCCAAGGGTATAGGCTTGCTCCAAATAATCCTATAAAAATACAGCCGAGCGTATTGATCAGAAAACAAACGATTTCTAACGATAGGATATTTACGGTGAAATGGATATGCCGAAGTATTGGACTGGATTCACCAGCTGTATCTGCAGAAAGCCAAACGTTAAATCCAAATTCCTATCGTTTTCTCGGTTTTCAAACTGTTTAGGATTGATCACATATTCACCAGAGTTAGGCACGGAGTCCTGCGTAATATGTAGAACGGCAACATAATCGTAAGGTTATAGACTTAGAAAAAAAAATGTATTCAAACAGCCAATGGGCTAACCTCAATAACGTCGATGAATACTAAATCCGGAGAAATGGTAACTTCTCTGTAACCGTACAACAGAATCTTTACTTCAGCGTCGTAATTGCTGGTCAAATTTTGTTTTTCCCAAGTGATTTTTATCTCTTTTGGTTTCCTCTCGCGCACCGATCCGTCTTGGAACCGGATGCGTTCTGTAGCCGTGGCAGGGGTCTCTGTAAAAATGAGTGAACATAGAAATAATCTCTGGTTTCAACTTGCATTCGAATTTCCTTCAAACCGACTTACCAACGAAGTATTTTCCTTTCCAGTTATATTTCTCATCGCCGATGGCCACGTCGAATATTACATAACCTTCGGCCATCAAAAATGGTTGTATGCAAACCGCTCGGTTTCTGTTTACCACCGTACCTTCGACTTCTTCGGTGTCGAACCTACAGTATTGCAAATATCCGTTCAATCTCTATTTATTTAAACGACTACTATTAATCTATCCGGTATCACTTACTTGCACCGGACTTTGTCACCGGGTTCAAAACACGGTCCGGTTATGTTGACCACGGTGCCGCCCAACATGTTGCCACTCTCTGGCGCGAAAACCAGCGGCAAATTAGTGCCGGCTAAGATAAAAGAAAAAAATACTCGTTTAAATATGTAATCTACGTTGCACACGTTAACATAATATATCCAGCTATTATACCTATGTCTTTGTTACAAGTGCCCAGCATGATATTTTCATCGATTCGGAATATATGACGACCCGGGAAATTGTTTGCCCAACCCCTGCCCACCAAATCTCTAATTGTCGACCTTTGCGAGTATGGATAGTATTCGAAACTTCTCGTTCCATTACCCGCGTTGAATCCCACCTGTAAGTCAATCGGTAAGTGAAATAGTCGACGGGTTCGATTAAAAAACTCACGAAAGCTGGTACTCCTCCTTCGCCTCCGGTCGTGTCTCCACCAGCTTCGGTATGACTGGTCCATTGCATGTCAGCATAGTTAAATATTGCGTAGGCGAACACTTCGTCCGTAGCCAAAACCATCTGGAACGTATTGGTCTGAAAAAAAAAAAAATAATAATAATAAAGTTGGGCTCATCAATGGTATTTGGATAAAGCTCACTGACCTTATACAAAGCATTGTCGATCCCACCGGAAAACGACATATTCTTCCAAGTGATTATAACGGAGTGCTTGGGCACAAAGGATTCGGCGCCGACTACACCTTCTCGAATGTCCCATTTGAGCCTCTCCCTCATTTCCACCCCGAACTGATCGGTTCGAGATTGCAAGTCTCGCTCCATTCTGAAATATACTCCTGCCCTCCGCCTGTCCTCGTCCTCCGGTTTCAACGAACCTATCCGGCACTTACTGTAGAAAATGCCAATGAACGAAGGGTCGTTTTTCTTCGGCCATTCCTTGATGGGAAATGAAAGCGGATAACGATAGTGCGTCGGTGGGTCGCTAAACTCCAGGTAACCGTTCATGGACACGCGCGTGTAATTGAAGCGGAATCCGAAAAAGGGCAACTGGAAATTGAAGTTTTTGTGGAGCTGAGGCGAAGAACCGTGTATGTCGGTTTGATAATCACCATTGTCGCTATCGCCGCCCTTGTCAAAGAACCAATACAAGAACTCCGACCGGATTTCTGCCAATCTATCTTCGTTTATCACATAAGCCGCGGCGCCAGCCTGCAGTCGTTGCATAGGCGGTGCATACCTGGACGCGTAGTTATCTAAACAGATTTTAAATAATGAACACTTCGTTTTAAATAATTTAATTACTTTTAAAAATCATGTTAAAAATGAATAATATGACATGTTCTATTATAAAACTCTTAAGAATGGCATATGGTCGCCCTAATCTAGAGCAATGTGAATCATCTTGCTATATAATATACAAATTAGTCAGACTATATTGTAGTACATGAAAGTTGATTTGTAAAAAGTGATTATATTTAATGAATATAATATATGAATCATTTTACATGTCTTTAAAGCTTTAATCTCTACTAAAACACTTTTTAAAAAATAATCCTGTATAAACTTATAATTTTCTGTTTGCGTATAATTCGAAATAGTTTTTTTATATAATACAATAATAGAGTATCCAAGTACCTGACTATCAAGATACCAGAGTTATCGTAAATGTATTATATTGTGTTATTTGTTTAATTTTGTCTTTAACTGGTTTAATTTACGCTGTGTGTTCAATTCCAGGCGGTGACTAATTACTCAAGCGACTATTTACCTATTTGTCAACCTGAAAACCAACGATAACAGGAAACGCTTGATAAATCTGTTGAAGTGTTCATCGCTATTGTCGCTAAGGAATTTGAATGCCGTCAGTTACAACATACGAAAAAGATTAACTTAGATACTATAAAGAATTTGACGACGCATTTAATCCATCTGTTTATGACGTTAAAATACGTAATAAAACAATAATTCTAGTATTTATAATTCATACCTACACTAAAAAGAGTACGATACTTAAAACGTTAATGAATGAACGTAACCTGAAGACCAGCCCTAGAGTTTGTACCTAGCTTGGTAATATTTAAAAGTTAACAAACAAATTACTTTAATGAGGTAAAATTGTAAAAGTATTGCGCTGGTTTATTTGACAAAGAATTGTTTCACACATCAAATTATAAATCCTAATATTGATTTTTAAATAGTTTTATTCGAATAAAAATGTAAGTAGATTTATTCGTATACCCATTCCAGTATTTGAACACCTGATATAATAATAATTAATTAGTGGACAGAGCGTGTATACAATTTACATTGAAACTATAAACTTTTGTTGAAGTGTTAATTGAACTTGCAATTAATAAATAAAAATTGAACTTGGATACAAATTGCACGTATTTGGTCTAGTGTGTAATAATACCATAGGGTAATTTTAAATCGATGAATATATTTGAAACAATGTAATGAATAATATTTCGAAATGAATAAGTGCGGTGTTAAGGATGATCTGGATTAAGAGATTAGGCATGAACAACACAAATGCTTTCAACATCCCACAACGACTCTAATTAGGAACAATAAGATAATTCTTATTTTAACGTTTTTTATAGTTGAGCATATTTTTCTGACCTATCCGATTGTTATTCTCATGAATTTTGTAGTTTCTATGAAGTATCAAATAAATTTGATACTTCAACGTTGACAAAACTTGGATGTACCATCTACATAGAAATATAGATTATACAATTTCCTCCAACTTTTTGAAAGTATTGTAGTTTATTGACCGTTTGGTAAATCTGCACTGAAAAAACTGACCAATTTGTAGTACCAGACTTAATAAAGAAAACCATATATAAATGCATTATTCACCGTAACTCTGACGTCCCTGGTATTGGTTACCGTTCCTGTTGTAAATGTTGGTCCTGGGCGTCGTCTGTTGTCTTTGCCTCTGCAGCTGCTGTTGCTGCTGGAGAAGCTGTTGCTGTTGGAGCAATTGCCTTTGTTGTTGTTGTTGTTGTTGGGGCGATTGTTGTTGTTGTTGTTGGGGCAATTGTCTTTGTTGTTGCTGCTGCGCGTACCCGTATTGGTCTTGGGCCGCATTTGGGTTGGAAAACTGCGGAGCCCGGAGACCGCTGTACTGTTGGTCAATGATGTCCTGCGGCCTTTGCTGGGACCAGTACTGTTGCGCCGCGTTTTGCTGATCGTAGAGGACATTTTGCCCTTGCGCCCGTCGACACGGACACAGACAAAGCACCGCGCACGCGACTATTGCGCGGACACCGTAATGACGACGCGGATCCGGCATGGTTGCGATGCCAAAGTATTGTGCCAAAAAGCGGCACACGATACCGTCGAAACGAATCGAAAGCGGAAAGCAGATAAGACATTCGGAAAAACAAATATGGGCGTATGCGCCACTTAAGGACAGTGCATTTTATCTAATCGGCGACGGAATTTCGGTTCGGTTTGTCGTTTACCTATATTGTTTGTGTATTTATCTGTAGTCATCGCTCTGTCTACGAATCGGAATAATACATGAGCAGCTCTAAAAAAAAAAAAAAAATAACAATCATCTGACGAAAAAGATAAATATAAAACGTATTACTCGATCACTTATATATAAGTATATTATACTGTCATTATAGTTGCGTAACTTAAGAGGACGTCATACAACCATACGAGTTTTACTATAGAGCTCCATGATGGTTCTACAGTAAAAATGCCTTAACTAAAACAAAAGATGATACGATTTTTGGATACAATGACGTATTCTTTTTACGATAAACCTAATTTTTAGCAAATATATAACATTTAAAATCACATTTTTTTACTTTTTTTAAAAAGCTATAACTTTTTTCACGTTGTTATTTTCAAAATCGGATATGACTTTGTCTGCAAAATTGTGTTGTCTTTCGATTTTATAATATATAAGCGTTTTTTTGGTTTAAAACAACCACGGACTTAGTGAAACGACTAAAATGTATTCCGCGTTATACTATGTTTAGATGAAAAAAAACAATTTTTAAATCGCTCACAAAGATGCTGTGATAGTCTAAAGAATAAATTAACTACCAAAACAGAGTTCTAATTACTAAACTAATAGGAATTTCACATTACAGTTTAACCTTTAAATTACAATTTTGCAAAAAATTGCCTATAGATAACTCCTTAATGAATAGTGGGTATCTCATCCTCTCAACAAGTAAGTATAATTGCGTTATTAGTAAGTGATGTGAGCCCTGTAAGGATCCAAGTAACAATTTGATCAAAATCAGTTTTTTCCCGGACTAGAACAACTATTGTTAACGCTGGCGCCAGGACCAATTTATTTATTCGAGAATCTATGGATAAAAAATAAAATATTTTGACAAAGTTGTTCCCCGTGAGTTGTATACAGTATAAGATAATATCTTATGTTACATGGAAAACAAGACATGAAAAGCGACACGTGATGTATCTTGTGCTTGTGTACGCTTGCAAAACATTTTAATTAGGTACAACCAAATTTTTTTACTATTTTTTCGAATCTTTTATTTTTACCAACTCCTTTCATCCGATATGTATCCGAGGTAACAACTAACACCATAACGTAAGAGCGCTTAAAAGTCATACACTTGAATTGGACAAAATTAATATCTCCATGTAAATAAAATTATATTTGAAAATATTACTAGTGTAAACTACCATATTTTAAGGTTTAAGGTACTCGTAACAATAGTAGACAAATTATAATATCTATCCAACATCTTTATTGCAGAGGCACTAATAAAACCATAAATGGAACGCAGTGAGTATTTAAAGGTTGACGAACTCATACATTGTATTTTTGTTATTTAGTTTGTATTGTACTAATACTATTATATCCATCTCATTATTATTAATTACAATTTTTGTTTGATTGTAGGCATACAGAAAACAAAAAAAAGTTGACTTTTTTTTATTGATTCAAATTATTAAAGGGCTCTTTTTTAAATAAAAATTACAGTGCTCTTGTGACTACACATTATAGCACTAAAGGGTTTCTTATATCTGCGTAATTTTTTTATGGAAAACAACTCGTTATAATTTTAATTTCATTAGGAAACGCGTGATCCAATAATAGTGGGCGTTACAGCTGCTTGGAATTTGGTATTTCGATTTTGCGGCCAAGTCAGATTTTCCCTAGTCGACCGCCGGAGTACCAAAGCAACTGATTCGCTGTCTCGACGACCCATTTGTTGGCAAGTTTAACGACACAGACATCTGCCTGTTGATCTCAACCTTCGCCTAACAGCTCTGCTGGCTCGTTTCCAGAAGGTTGACCGTCGAATTACGAAGGTCGCCAGACGAATCGATCACTGGAATTCTTCGGTAACGGACTGGACGAGTTTCCACGGTGGGACGGCCGATGTGATTGTTATGCTTCCCAGGATGTTATAAATTTCTCGCCAAGTCTTCCCAGGAATTATCGCCGACGTCCAGAACTATTTAAGTTATTACGAGTAGCCGTTGGGACGTATTATGTTAATTTACAAAAAACAAAAATACGAACACTGGCATTCGATGATCAAGTAAAGCGTCGGGTTGCTCCCCATACGAGTTCTGTCAGCGCGGCTCCGAATAATTTGTCTTATTCAAATTTAGAATTAAATACATCTGGAGAACACAGAAGGTAGTTAGGTTCAGCTGTTGCACAATATATTTTTGTTGTTTTCTATGAACAGCTAGGAACAACAAATATCACGAGATAAAAATAGGAGAGATAGTAGTTGATTAAAAATAGAATATTTCATTTCACACTACTTACTATAGTAGTCTTTAGGTTTTATGGTGCACGTTCAACAAAGACAACACAAGTCATAATAACTTCTTACACGTTTATTTCTATACTACAGAGTAGAAAGCTAACAAATTACAGCTATCAACATAGGTTTGTGATTACAAACTAGAACAATAATGATAATAATCATAGATGGAAAATTAAAGATTTTTTTTTTTAATGGTTTTAACGAGAGTATATCTATTTTAAAGTTTAGTATTACACAAAGAAAAACATATTAGCCATTAATGATACTTTTTAAATGGTTTTCAAGCAACCAATAACAATTTCACATAGTAAAATAGTAAGCCTTAGAAAAAACTATTACGTAATAGGAAGTCAAAAATTGGGTAATATATTATTAAAACAGAGGGAATACATTTAAATATCACAATATTAAACGACCACATAATAACAATATAAAAAAAGTATAACTTACCTAATTACTATAACATAGTTACCTAAACAATAAAATGGAAAGATATTCTGTTAAAATAGCGACAAAATTCATTCTTTAAAAACGGAGATAAAATATAGTTTTTTACTATAATAAATTAAAAAGAGGAAATATTAATATTATATTCAAAATACAAGTTATAGGAAAAATTTCACATGTTTGTAAAATAAATAATCATACAAATCATAACAAGCATAATCAAATTGTTTTGGTTTTGTTATAATAATAATAATAATAATAAATTTGTTTATGTTATTTTGTTTGGCAGCTAGAATGGGGCTGGTTCTTCTTCAGAATCTTGTTCGCTTTGATTGTCTGGACGACATGTCATTAGGTGATACGCTTTGGTCTCTTCACCTGTTTGACGGAAACTAATTAATGGTCTCAGAGCTGATCGTAGTGAGGCGAACAATTTCGGGAACAATATTTCTTGTTGAGCAAGAAGTTGTTTTGTACGATGACGCTCCTAAAATAAATAAAACTTTTGAGGGTTTTGTCAGTATGAATATAAAATAGCATTACAAATTTTACCTTAGGAGCTTCGAAACACGCAGGACAATTTTCTGCTATTACAGGAAGCTTTCTGGATTCAGCAAATTCCCGTAGTAACTTTTCTCTGACATAAACAAATGGCCTAATTACTCGCAGGTCTCGTTCTTTAATAGCGTAATGTGCTTTCATTGATCTCAAACGTCCATTGTGAAACGTTGACATTAAAAAACTTTCGGCAATGTCATCCAAGTGTTGGCCAAGAGCTAATACATTATATCCATTTGCTCTAGCCGCAGCATAAAGCCGACCTCGTTTCATACGACTACAAAAACTACATATGGAAGTGCATTCGGCAGAAGATGCTTGTTCTAGAATTTCTGATGTAAAAATTTAATTAATATTAATATTTAATAAGAAAACACAATATCAAACTTTAAGTCATATGCTACAGCCTACTAACGTTGTTCTTCATATAAAAAATGAACTCCTAGTGCATCTAAGTACGGGACGAGTGGTTTGGGGTTGTAAGATGTGCTACCGGGATCAACGGTCGCAGCACCCAATGTAAAATGTATTCCTTTTGAAGAAGCATAATATTGGTATTGATGAAGTGTATGAAGTAAAGACAATGAATCTTTTCCACCAGACAGACATACCATAATACTATCTCCATCTTGGATCATTTGGAATTCTCGAATAGCCTGCACAAAGTTCATATTTCAATTTCAAATTTAAATACAATTTTAATAAATAGTTCATACAACAATATAAGCATGTTAGGGTGGTGTTTATTTCAACTCCTCAAGCTCGTTTGTCGGAACATAAAAAAGAAATATGCTAACGAAAATTTCAGGCCTTAATTTTAATGTTAACATGAGGCGCGAGTCACTTATATTTCACATTTTTTTAAAATATAATGATATTAACAAAAAAATAATTATTCCACGATATCTGCTACAAAATATTTTAACAAGTTAATATGTTCCTCAACATTTTAAAAATTAAAAACATTTTTAGTCTTAATTTGATGCTTTTACAGTATGGTAAAAGTTTGTGGCTAGAAAAGTATGCTGACAGAGCACGTGTTAACATCAAAACTAAGAATTACAATTTGTATTGCCTTTTGGCTTTTTATCCATTGTAAACCTATTTATGGGGTGACTCGTCGAAATTCTTCTAAATGCAAAACAAGGACCACCCTAAAGCACAAAAATGTAATAAACCTAGAAGGATTTATCAATTTTAGTAAGTATTAAACAAATATGCTAAAAAAATTACAATTTTAATAGAATGTAAAACGATCACTTACTTCAATTGTTGGTTTCCATATGGGTTTAGGGGGACAATGCCACCTAGCTACAGAAAAATCAACACTCTTCTGACAGTTCATTTTTACTATGCATTCTGTTTTATATTTTTTCACATTACGGTTTTGCGATTCAGTCTTAACATTGATACCACTATCGGTCGAACTCAGATTCGGATGCTTCAGATTGTTCTCTTTATCGCTCTCCGAGTCCGATTCTTTTCCCATTATAGTATCAGTATTCTCGTCGGACAATGAAGAGGATGAAGCTAACACCGAGCTAACCATATCGTGTATTTCAGTTTTCATCTCTGATGCAAACTCAGACAAACGGAAAATTACTTGTTCTTCGATACCGTTTTGACACGGTGTCGTGGTTATGACCGGTACAGAGTTATTTCGAGGCATCACATTTTTAAAGACTTTCGGTAAGCTAGAACGTTTTTCTACAACATTAAGACTTTCTGAACTCTCCGACAGCGCATTATCAACAGTGGCAATGACTCCGCGCAGTTCGGATTTGATTTCAGTCACAAATTCTTTGGTCATCTCCTGTACATAGGCCTGAATGTCACTGCCGGGTGTGCTTTGGTCTCCATTGGAAACCCGCGAGTCCGAATCACTTAATTCAGTTTGGCTACTACACGAACACTGTCTTTCACGAAGCCTTTTGAAATTTGAAGGTGGATTAGATCCCAAACTGTAGCACCGTTCTCTCTGAGAAACTAATTCTACAGGACTCAAGTGTTTATTGGTCACCAACATGTCCGAACTACCACTTGAAGACCTTACGCGGGCAGATAAACTACGGAAAAATAAAAACGAACGTCAGACAATGTTTTTTTTTTTTTTTATGATCAAATTTACCTATTGTCAAGTGCAGACAGACTGTTGTATCTGGCCAGAGAAGCATTGGGAGTGGAAGCGGGAGAAGATTCTGAAGTCCTCGGAGACCCGCAGTAAATTGCTGGAGTAAAAGGTACGCTTTGTCTGACATGTCTGGAAGACTGTCCTAATAGTAAATCTTGAGCTTCACTCGGTAGCATAAACCAACGCAGCTTCTCAGCGTCTTCTGTAAACATACTCCTTTGATCGGGCAGTGGAAACCTCTTTGCCATCTGAATATTTCAAGTACAGTAAAGGTTAGATTAGATGAACACGTAATTTTTATGGATATTACCTTTCTTGCTTTGTTGAATGTATTTCTAGCAGTCTTCAGACATTCAGAGTAGTCCGCTGGGCACGTGTTTTGCATAGAATTTTTACGTTCTGGTACGACCATTTTACCGTCAGTGTATCGAATGGAGCCTAACCATTTTCTATCTCTGAACACATTGTTTGTATGGTGTTTCCATTCTCCGGTTTCGGGATTTAACGTGTATTGAGGCAATAGTTTCCATCCTTCCGTGGCCACCATTTTTATGGCTTCGAGCACAAAGGATACTTCGTTATCAGACATGAAGAACGGAAACGATACACGAGCGAATCCGGGTCGAAGCATTTCAAATGAAGAGTGTTCCTCGTGTCTCCGTAAATGGTGGCGGTCAAGTCTATTGTCCTCTAGTAACATGTTTTCATATTCGTTGGCCAGAGATTCATCTATTCCCAACAAGTCTTGGGCATAAGGCCCTGCACATGCACAGCCTCCACGTGCTTGTACTCCAAAGACATCATTGAGAATTGCACAAACAAAATTATGATGAAGATATGCCCCACGTGGATGTCGGACTAATATGGAAAATATCGGTAACCTTTTGACAGTCTGAGAGCAATTTCCCAGCACATTTATTTCTGGCATGGTATTGAGAAACGACAACACCGTTCTGTAATAAAATTTAACAACAAAAATTAACATTAAAAACACAATACAGAGTATAAAGGGTTAGTATTTGGTTATAATTAAATACACATGTATAATATAAACAGGAACGGTACTGCCGAAAAACATATTTTCCATAAATCCGTTTAATAATAGAAGTTTAATAGACAGGTTCCATAAAATAGCAATGACGTAGCAAAACTTATCACAATGACATTTAAAGTTTGAACTGTGTGTTGCGAATAAGCTCTGTGAATTATTAATAACTTTGTCTAATAAGTATGTTCCACACGTAGAACAACAACAATCCGCCTTAACTAGTAGTACTACAGAGTTTAGCTAATAATGAAAAATTATTCTTCACTATAACAATACACGCAACTTATCTAAATTAAAAAAATATATTTAACTAAAATGATGTAAATTAATGCGAATGAAGTAAGTCTGCACTAATGCACAACACTGTCGAGGTGTTTTATTTAAGAAAGAGTACTGTGTTTGAGACGAGCCGGATTGAATTCCATTTCAAATATTTGCAAGTACTGAATCACAATTAGAATAAACATAAAGCCGACAGCTCATAAACGTTTCTATTCAGGAGACACTCAAATAAATCATTTTCGGTGTGTACGTAAACATAGGTATCTAATTAAACTATTCCAATCAACGTTATACAGCTATCCGGACGTCACGCAATGCCAGCATAACAGATTCGTTGCGTTCATCATAAAAATCACTCATGCACATTTAATTAAATCTTGAAAAATGTTAACCGGTCGTGATAACTTTGTTTTAATTTAATGGAATAAATAATTGACATTCTAGATAATAATCAAGCGGACATTTTATGAAGTTATAAATTAATATCGTAAGCTAGATAGAAGCCAGAGATTGGGAAATATTTTCGTAGTTTTAGATTTTTTTTGGTATAATAATTCGTTATTCGTACAAATGTTTAAATTATAATCAATTTAATCAATCTAAATAACAAAGTGACACAGTTTTAATTTCAAATTTGTATTCGCCAGACCGTTAAGAAATTCGAGATATCAATAGAGAATGTTTAGAAAACGATCGGTTAAAAGTATTATTTGCTTTTAGATATTACATATCATCTATATTTCTTTCGAATATACATAGTTTTCATTATCTAGCGATTTTATAATGCGTAAGAAAATATTTGAACAAAACATAACAGATTTATTGAGTAATATTGACATAATAAATATAATTATTATGATGGAGAGGTGTAGCGGGCTAACGCGAGACAGAGTACTTTGTAGACAACCTCAGATAATCAACAGTAAACAAGGGACATTCGACCATTAGGATTCGACGATATCATAATATGACAGCCGACAAAAGTTCCAATCTTAACGAGTTGCAAAAAAAATTAACAAATTTAACGGTTCATTAAAATTGAATACATCAGCCAGGATAGTTATTTTGTATAAAAGTGTCTGAAATATATTTAAGGATTCGTAATCGATAATGAATGTTGTGGTTGTGTAGCCTGGCAAATGTTTTCTCCAATAAAGCATAATACCAAGTAATTAATCAAAATGTCGACACTACTAAACACGTTTTTAAAAATATTGCAGTAATTTTACACATATTAAACGGTTGAAAATGAGGGTTACACTTTATTTGCTGTCAAAATAAAAGATTTAACCACTCCTAAAACTAAATTTCTTATCTATTTCAATGGTTATTCTAAGGAAAATAATCGAAATAAAAATAAATGCCCTTCATTCAAAAACCCCCCACTGGCTTGCAAGGTTATCGGCGAATCTTTTAGTAACACATGAAAACAATTCATCTATTACACATTTATGTTCACCGAACTACCGACAGTTCGGAAAATAATTGAAAAGTAAATTAGATTTATTGTATAATGACGACACTTTCCCGAGGTCGAACAAACCAATTCATTAGCTTTTCAGTCCCACCCGACAAATAAATAGTACATTTCTTAACAATACATACATACAAATGTAAAGTTTTACACACCAAGTAGAGATGGCACCTATGAAAAAGTCATACCTATAGATGTCATTATAAAAATAAAATTGTGCTTCAACTTACTTTGTAATCTTTTCTTCTCTGGCCATAATGTAGGGCACGCCGATATTCTGTTTCAGTTGTATTGCCAATCCCATCCGGACGGACTCTACAATTGCTCCTGTGCCTCCTTCTTCTCTCATTTCCGTGTCCTGACAAACACAGCAAGTCGTATCAGGGTTGTTCGAGGTTACCGGTAACGCGTTTCACTCACCTTTAAGTACCTGTGGTCTTTCCTGGAAACGAAAAACACGGATCCTCCGCCGCCCCCATTCGGCACTTTATTTTTAAACAGTTTTTTCTTGGCTATCAAAACGCCTGATCCAAAAAAATATTTTCGGTTAGTCGAAGGGTTATTTTATTTAACATATACAAAACGCGGTGGTTGGTTCTTCGACTCACCTGGAGTCTGTATGCCGCCGACGAATTTGTGACCGGAAAAAAATATGGCGTCCTTGTACACAGCTTGGTCGTTGGCCGGAAACAGAGGGTTCATGTCCAAGACCACGCAAGGGGCTAGAGAAAAGAAAAAAAAATAATGTTGACGAAAGAGTTCACGCGTGTACACAGAACCCTCTAGAGCGAATAGGTAGTTGAACCATTATGCTCCAGATTCTCAACAAGACCCACGTCGGTCTGTAGTTTTATGCCTAAGGCCCATTGACGAAATTTTAAGGGGTTAGCTTGGGATACACTACATGTTTAGAGTAATTTTTTTTAGCGAAAGATTTATTGAAAATCGACAATTTGACATTCTTCGGTGTTTTGAGTACACTTTGCCCCCCTCCCCCCTTCTATATTTCTGTCAATATCTAGGCTCTGAAAAAACTCAGGACCGCTTTGCGTATACCGTGTGGAAAAAAATATCGGTGAATCACGTCACCTGCGGTCGCATAATCCCAAAATGCCAAAGCGCCGTACTGGTGCAAGATCAACGTGGTAGCGATGTCGTCGGCTAGGATACCGGTAATGTTGGAAGCGGCCGAGAAGCAACCGATCAGTTGGGCTGCCGGGCTGATTGACTGGTACAGCCGGAGCTTGTTTTCGAGATCGACGAGATCGATAAATCCTTCTTTGGTTTCGGCCACTCGGACGATCTGCAATCAAACAATAGAGATAGGTTTACTAATATTAGTATCTACGTACCTACGCACTTGACGCAATGGCGTGACACCCACCATGCCACGAATACACAACAAATCCGAGTTTGCGGAACCGTTTGTATGTTGGGGACGGTCATATTATTATTATTATCATAGCCGAATTGGCAAAAGATCAAGCGTTTAAAATAAAAAAAAAATATAATTACTACGATATTATATTATAACAACAATAATAATAAATATTATTGCACGTAATCACGCCTTACGCTCGTTGAATTGCCGCCAACCGTTAAAGCGATAATACGATTCCGGCGTCACGTGCTTGACACCGACCACATGTCGTTTTCTTCTTCCTACGACAACCGCGAATAACATTATTCACGGCAAAGGTCATCCAGTGTATTATTATACTGGCAATTACGTCACGTGTGCGCAGGAGACAATATAATAATAATAATATATGAATTATGAATACACAGTAAGAAGGGTTAAAAGAGTGTATGCCATGTGTGTAGTTGTGTAATATTGATCTGTATAACGTCGGAGAGTGTCAGACGTTCACGGTCATTAGAAAACGTTATTATTGTATTCGGTAGGAATATTATGCACCAGGGAGGAAGGGAAAGGATATACAGTGAAGCGTGTATGTATAAAGATTGCGATGTCCTTGAACAATTCACAGTTCGAGAAAGAGGTGGGGAGGAAGACGTGCGAAATTACAAAAACTCACAGCCAGGACAAACGCGGATCGCAAATGGCCAGGAAAGTGAGGAAGAGGAGGAGGAGGAGGTAGACCATAAAATAAAGACACGGTTTTATTGTTACGATTAGATTTCCTCGTATCTACATAACGAGTATTCGAAACAACGACCTACCGTAGCGCCGATTTCCCTCCAAGGAAGCAGGTTCGAATGGTGTTCATACGGACCGACCAGAACAACGGGTGCTACTTCTTCGGATGCGAAATCCAAAGCGTGGATCAGCTTGTGAACGGCTCCCGTGCAGCCGCTACCCACGAATATGACAGCATCGTCTTCGGAAGCGTGTACAGCATTTCGCACTATGTCCCGGGATTCGTGTCTAAACAAGGAAATTACATTTAATTGCATTGGTACGGTTCGACATAATTAAATGCATACAAGAACCAAGAACGGAGCCATAAGAAAAAGCAGTCGCTCGTTTAGAAGAAATTATCACCCTTTCTTTGGCTTCCCAAGAATTTGGTCATTTCGTTTTTAGCATTTAAAATTTTATTTCTACTTTCTAGTAGTTTTGTCTAATTAAATTCAGCATTCGGCAAACTAGTCAACTGTTTATTATTAATAGTCTTGCACTTTGGGCCTAAAAGGACTAATCTCTTATTTATAGACAAAACGAGTTGAAATACGTGCATCATTACATTATTACATTAAAGACGGCTTGGAAAATGTTGAAGCTAATAATTGTAAGTGCAATTATGCCTCTTTTGTACACATAGTCCATGGTAACTAAAAATAGAGAATTGCAAGTTCCTCGAGTATTTTTTCATGTGCAACAAATAGTTTAATAGTATACGGTTAGAAGTGAATTCGCTGTTGTTTATTTATTTCGTTTTAGCCCAATCAGCAGACGTGTTATCAATTAATTAGTAAACTATTAAACATTCCAATTGCATTCAATCGTTACTAATTTTAATTTTAATTCTATTGTAACAAATCATTCGTTTTTTCAGTTCTAAAAAAAAGAGTTAAGCCTCATTTTTTAACTTTGGCACTTAAAACGTTTGACAAATTCACTCTTCATTTATTCTTCAAAAAATTATGTTTATTATAATTACATTTGAAACCATGCGCTTTTTTAGAAAATTAAAATGTCAAAGCAGTTTTACCGTAATTTGCTAAACGTAATATTATCCTTTTAAGACCTACGTTAAAAATGTATTGTCACGCTTAGTAGATCATTTTATATTTTGTTTACATTAGGTACTGCATTGACAAAAATTGAGTTTTATTTTATAGATATATAAGTACAAATCAGGTAAAAATAAGCATATCTTGAAGCTCTCACTTAGGGTTATTATATCCTGTCCCCGTTCCTGTTAAAACGAATAGCTTAAGTGTTTCGAATGGCGAAAGAGAGCATAATCTGGCTCGGTAGTCGCACTTCTCGTTCCTTTGGGTCGAGCATATTACGCAAAAGAGGGTGGAATATTACATATTTACATATTATATGTAATATGTTATATGTTATATGTATTATATATAATATTAACATATTATGCCGCTACTAACGTAAATTCTTAGATCAACAACAACTTCGTTGCCTGTCCTCGCCTTTCCCTCGGGGCACGTACCTACCTGGGGTAGTGTGGGAGGATTTTTGGTAGCACAGCAATCGCCCGTATACTAAAACGCATAATATCGTACAAAGGTTTGTAAATATTGAACGCGCCACACGCAAACACAGGGCCCGGGAAGCGTTTGGTAATATATTTTAATAACATATGATATGAACGACCGGGCGATAAAGGTCGAGAAGATCCCGAGGCAGATTTTACATAGTGTTAACAGTTTTTGTTTACCTGTAAAGGGTGGACTGGAGCGAAGTGACGTTGGTGGTGGTATGCGTATTACCGTAGACGGGCAATACTTCTTTTAGTATGTAGTCCTCGATGAAATGGAGCGATTTGCCGGATGCAGCGTAATCGCAATACACAACTGTTGTAAAAAAAATAAGTCATTAATATTGGTCATAAAAGGTAACAATAACTAATAAAATAAATTATCAAAAATAAACGTCTCTCGGAGTAAAAAAAATATGCTACATGAATAATTTGATATTATCGTAATTTGGTGGTATTTATGTACAATAATATAATATTGTTGTAATATTTTATTGCAGTGCAATTGGTTGTCGTCGCGAGTACATTGAGTAATGACACGACTATTACGATAAAATTACTTAAAATTGTGTACAGTATTTGTTAATCCACATTCCATCCAATCAGTGTGCACTACAATTATTTATCGGAAAACCCAATTTCCAACGAAAAGTCATTATTAAAAGAAAATATATATATACAAAAATCCCACATAATAACCCGCATCATACACACAAAAGCTCGCCAATAACATTGATTAAACCGTAAATTTAACAACTTTTGTACTTGACCTAATTTCGTAGTTGTGTTCACTCTGCCACGCGGCATGGGTATTATCAATTCGCGTCCGAATAAATAACCACCGTACACCGATAACATTTTGTTGAACTTGAAATTATTCTTTTTTAAATAAAATTCGTGGTGTAATAAAATACCACACCCACTCTAGTAAATACATCTACGATCTTGGCTAATAAAATACATCATGTATACGGGCGACATATAAATAAAACGCAACAATTTAAGACACTTGTCAGGTCTAAACGGGATAAATTACTGATTTTTGTTTATTTTTAAACATCACGGCAGAAGATACCGTATAGATTTAATAACTTTTATTTTTATTGTGTACACGGTATTTAGTCATATTAGTATATATATTTATTATTTATATTAGTTCCCTAATGATCCAACCTGACATCAAATTATAAATTAACTATTAATTATAAATAATGTTATTAGAAGTAATTTATTTAAAAAAATAAACTTATATTTAACAGATGACGCACGATAGTATTCGAACAGCTACAACGCTGTACGCCTTTACAAATTGTGAGTTGGCAGCCGTGTATACATTTAAACGCACAATACGCCTAAACACCCACATCTTAGGCGTTTTTAAAAATAAAAATAAAAACATATGCATATTGCGAATAAAGACTGTTCGAATATTATTATAGTATACATTTTTATTTGTTTGTGTAATCAGTATAGTGTAGTCAGTAGCTTAATATATTACTATAGTCGGAAAAGGGTCTGACATTTTAAAACAATGTCCGACGGGTAAAATAACTTTTGTTGTTTAAAAAAAAACAATATTGTTTAATAAATACTACCCGGGAGCTTTTTATGGAGAAAATAGAATATAGTCAATACGGTCGCCGGCGTGTCGTTTGGCGAGATACAAAGTTGTATAGCCGACGAGAAACCTTGTACTCTCCCGGTTTTTACAATCCAATTAAATGTTATTTTAGTCTAAACACAAGTTCGTTTAAATAATAACGATATTTGAAACGACTTAAAACACCTGTACAATTAGTTATTGAGTTTTGTAATTATCAATATACCGAATAGGTACGCGTTGTCAGTAGGAATGTCTTAAGAAAACAGAATTTGTTGTGTGTACTAAGCATATTATGCTACACAATATTAAAAAAAATAATTACGATATTATATATATATATATACGATTCGAAGAATAAGCGATAAAAGTTGTTGGCGGTCGGTTTATAACACACAAAATATTAACCTCAATTAATATGACGTTTATGAAGGGTCAACTACATTGCAATAGCCATTCTGGTTAATTAACGACAATACTGGAACATTCGTTTACCGAATATTTTTCCCATTGCTTATACATATCATTAGCTAACCAAATACGGTAATTAATAGATCCCCTGACAAAATAATTAAGTTGAATTAATAATTATTGTTTTATTGTTCCATAAACAAGAAGTCATCAGTCACACACGAGTAGTCAACACACCGTCGCAGAAACAATGCATTTGTGTAAAATTATATTGTTTTCTCGGTATGTGGTGTATTATTTGGTCGTTAGTCGTCTATAATTGAACGACATTCGCCAACGGTTTTTAATGGAAGGATAAATTGCAATCAATAATAAAATATTTATTGGCGGGCTATCATCGATCATGTTATGTGCGGAGAGGTTCCAATCAGTCCTGGCGGCGAGCAAAACCCGGTGGAGCGTACGAATAACACGATAATCGACATATTTTGATATTAATGTTTTTATTACATGTATTTTGTTACTTTAAACACAAATAACCGTTTGATAATATTATATTTACGCAGTATTTTTGCACGTTCTATATATTACGCTACATAGCCGCCTTTTTTTTTTACAAATACGTGCTTGTTAAGGACTAAGGTAATTCGCGAGGGCGGCTTAGAGGACAGTGGATGAAACATACTCTCCCCCCTGTGTCTATCACAGGACAGACGGTAACTGCGCAATTCCCCCACACGCCGCTGCGTTTCAGAAGCGCCCTGACTCCCGTGTCCTGTTATCTGCTGTCTGCCCGAGTTCCAGCCAAGGTTAAGTGCGCAGCAATGCAAAATTATTGGTTAGGGTAGGTGGCGGGGACCGCTTCGCGCTTCACCATAACAACGAAATCAAGTCGCTAAAACCGATACCTGATCTGGAAAACGGGTTATGTTACGTCATAGTAGTCCGGCGAATACAATGTGAGCACGTCGAGCACAAAAAATATTATAATCGATATGGACGAACCTAGACAAGAGTCAATAGAAATACATTTTACAAATCTAGACGACAATTCTTAATACGATAAAAAACATACCCTGAATATGCATTTGAATAACTAAATTATTTCCTCGAAACTATTCTTGCCTGAACCACCATCATTAAATACTGAAATACATTTTTCTATAAAAAGAGCAATTTGAAACTTACGAGCGCGGGTCTAGAAATTAGACTAATTACTAGTTAGAAAAGGGGACTTAATAAAAATCATACTGTTAAAAACGCCTCGGTTATAAATTTTTGTTGAAATTAACCTTAAAATAAAATAACTATGTTAAGCCGTTTTAGTTTTATGAAGCTCAAATTTAAACTTGAAATTATAGCCGAGCCTCTCGACTATTATTCACACCTGGGGATTAGCATATACGTTTAAAATAAAATTAAAATAAGATCAAATTTAAGCCAACTACCACAATTAAAAAATTCATACAAATTTTAATTTTGCTAGAATGATAGATTATCCGAAATATCAGTACATTGTACGTACCTACCTATATAAAATATATTGTTCTAACTATAAACCGATGTACTTTTTTATAATAATAGGGATTATAATTTGTTCGTAAATCAAAATATAGTGCTACGTTAACGAAACTAACTTAAAACTTAGACTAAGAAAACTTGTATGATAGGCGTAACGTACCTAAAATACCATTAAAAACGTTAACTATTTTTATTGCGCATTGTTAACATTTATCCGAGTTTATGAGTTGAAGTTGAAAAAGTGACCTTGTTTAGTCGCAGATTATTGGGCGTCCTTAACTACTGAAATTACATCCCAGATAAGCCACCCCAAAATACCTGTATTCATAGTACAGGCGAACAAGCAATAAATAGTTTGTGCGATGTGCTCAGTTGCCAATATTAGGTATGTCGTTCTTCAAAATCATTTCATGATACTACATACTAGAATCAGTTTGAAAAATACTATTCATAAAGTGCAATTTTTTAGTTGTCATACTATAGAGTACACACGAATTCTATAATTGTACGAACAGTTACGAACACTCCGAAAGATATCCTAGTTAAAAAATAACCACTTAATAATGAACCGTAAAATATCGTTTTGTCTTTGTTAAAAGTCAATTAGTTCCAATCAACACCTGTCATTTCTGCCAATAGTCATGTATACACATTTATTAAGCGCGTTAGTTTTTATTTAAATGGATATTCACATTTTACAGTTAAGGTTTTGAAACAATAAAATAACCAGTTGGTCGACTCATTACCATTTTGCTGTAAGTAAATTACATACTGACTGATTATTATTAAACGAGTAAAAAAAGTTGTACCAATTGGTATTAAATTTATTTATTTTTTAGAAAAAATATAATTTAGGTAATTTGCGAGTCGTTAACATACAATGGGCATAATGACTGTCCAAGTTATTATGATAATTTATTAAAGCGACATTTTGGATGGGTTTAGCATAATGTGAAATAAGTTTGAAGTCTGTGTTTAAGGTCACCCGCGTCGAGTATACAATAGAAACATGGTCATGTTCGACAAATCGGACATTTGATGCTCATTTATTCATTACTGGCGCGCCCAGGATTTTAATAATATTCCAAAGATGCTAGTTGCTTGGTTATATACCTAAAAGAAATATTTCTGTTTTATGTATTATTCAAAAACAAAAAATTCTCAACAGTTTACTGGCTGTCAATTGTGATACACATCCTTATATTATATAGGCCCCTATAATACTACATAATACATAGCATTATGTCAATATATCCCATCCTTGTATTATTAAATGCACTAGAAGTACTAGGCGGGGGGCCGTTTCATAAATGGTCTATGATCAACAATTGTATTTACTTATAATTTTATTTGATTTGTAAACCGTGACGAGACTCGTGAGATGACAAAACGAATTAACTGTTTAATTAATTAATAATAAAAACTCACATAAATTAAAACGATTTAATAATCTCACAGTCACTATATAATAGAAGTCGTAAAACTTAACACCGCATTTTCATTTAACCATCGGGTCACATAAATTATTATATTTTAATCAATAGTGGCCCATTTGAATTATACACCGGTGTTACTTAGTAAAAAGTAAACACACCATAAAAAACACATATGCAAAGAAACCGTATCTCAATCGAAGGTAATTTTCGGTTGTTTGAAAATAACCGTACGGTTAAATTTATAATGTCGTTTACAGAACAAACGACCAGACGAACTCCAAGTATTAACAATTTGCGCGCGTGCCTGGCCCGACTCCCAATTTGAATCCAAGTGTGATAAATACCCAG